GTGTAATTCCACAATCCTATGGCAGAGGGCTGCCAGGCATGTCAATGCAAGATCGCGGAGCCTTCTACATGGCGAGTGCGCCAAGGTGGCTATGTTAATGTAAGAGTTAGCATGTTAATGGCAGATCGTGAAGCAGAAGCCTTGAGGATGGAGCGCGACGTCGCTGTGTTAGTGAGAAATTTAATCTGTTAATGTAGAAAATTAGAGAGCCGAAAATAACAACTAACATCGGAAGGTGGTAGGCTGGGAACATCAAAATCAGCTATGACTTAAACTGGTTAATAACGTCCTTCCAATGATTGTTCAGTTTGTACCCATCTTCTCGGTTGAAATTGTGTCTGTGTTTATATATCTGGATGGCTTCATGAACGAATCTTTGTTGATTGCCAGTGGGTTTGCAGAGTACGTTCGTCTTGGAAAAATCTATTTCGTGTGTGCCCACAGTGTTAAAACAATGATCAGCCACGGCTGAGGTATTGGTCCTACCGTGTTTTTTTCTGTCTGCGTGGCTTTACCGAAAGACCCAAAGAATATGAATTCCTGCAGCCACGAAAGCTTTAAGTCAAGATTTTTTATAATGTAAACAAAAAATTTGCTCTATTTCACCAATGGGTTTGAAGGATGGTGGCAAGTGTTGTTTTGTTAAACTATGCCTTTAAAACTAAAAACTACTTACCTGCAGTACCTCTATTTAAATACACTATCGAAAAAATAATTTACACCCCTCTGTCAATCATCGTGTTTCTCAGTGTGGATTTGTGAACACACTTTGTAAACAGTACATAAAATAGTACACGTTTTCAATGCGCTGTTCATATTGTAACGCAAGTTTATACCAATGTTACTCTACAGTAGTGGCTCCTCTTATCCGCATTGATACGAGCAGTATGTGGGGACTAAGGCTTAACTAAGGCTTAACCGCAAAAACAAAACCTATCTGCACAGATGCCTATGGACAAGAGAAGTATTATCAAACAGGAGGAATTAACGGTGCAGCGCATCTCATCTGTTAAATATCTGCAGGTAATAGGATTGTCATCGATTGGTCCTGGCTGCAGACATTGGTAGCTCACAAATAATAATGAAGATAAGAGAGCAGTTTCACTGTGTTATGCATACCGTTATGACAAATAAAGGACTTAAGTCGTGTAGGCAGTTTGAGCAGCTTTGGATAAGAATTATGATCCTGCCCATACCCGAGCATGGAGTGCATTCGCTTGTTCAGCTCTTCTGCGTATTTGTCCTCGCTGCTGCGCTTGGGCATGACGTGACAACAGAACGATCTGCGCCAGGTGGGTCGCGGCGTTTATGTGCGCGGTGGGACGGAGTCGCCAAAAATAATTGAACTAATTACGATTTTTACTTCCGTTTATTCGGGACCCCGGGGTCCCGCCATAAGGTTCATACGCTACAGGCCCCGCACTAGCTTCATCCGGCACTGGGCTGATGCCAACCCCCGCGTAGAGACGCATTTCCGGGGGCTCGGACTCAGCATCTGAGCGGTCTAGGGCACAGTGCATCAGACGTAGCCATCGTGAATCCCAGAGAGAGAGAGAGAACGAGAGACACTCAGAACCCACGGCTTGAACCCAGGATAGCAGATTTGTTTTTATCCCCTTGCTTCGCCGACGCTGCGAAGGCCAGTACGAACTGCGTGGGATAGACACCTGGTCTCCGGGGCGTGAACTTGGATCTCAAGAGTCGCTGGCTCAATGCATTCTTTCACAACCGTTATCATGCAACACCTCTCCGCGATATGGAGAAACCGGCCCAGCACTCCCCGCCCCCCAGGGCTTGAACCTCACGCCTGTTATATTATTTGGGTCTTTTGCATTCTGACTACAAGTATTGTGGTTAATGCAGACACAATTAGCCGAGGTATTCCTAGCTCTGCGATCTTACATTTACTTGCAAATTACATCTCTAGCCCCGCCCACTTACCCTTGGGTTGTACCCATCTCAAACCTTAATAACCTTTGGCTGCAGTAGCTCTCTCGCTATATTTCTTCCTGCCTCAGCAGTCCGCCTGCTGTATTCTTTCACCTGAAGACAATTGTTTGTGTTGCGATCGAAACGTCGTGATTTTTTATTATTTTATTATTTTTACCTATCGAGGTGACTTTATCGAAAGACCCAAAGAATATGAATTCCTGCAGTCACGAAAGCTTTAAGTTAAGATTTTCTCACGTCTGTTGTTTGTTCATGTTTGTTCATGTTTTTGTTTATTGCGGTTGCACCCGAGTCAAGAGCCGCATGGCTCACAGGGCTATACCTAATAGATGAACTGAAATGAACTGAACTGAAGGGACCACATCCCTAAATACAAAGTCAATAATTAAAATCCAATCTCAGTCAGGCGTAAACTCACCTCTTCATCACCCCATGGTTGTCACATGCAGTGACTGACTTATCCATGCAATAGAAGGCATACAAGGAATACAAAACTGCCCCACACTCGTTCATCATAGGATTGCAAGTCCTCAGAGCAGAGCATATTGAGGTAGTGAGAACATGGTGTGCTTAGCCAGCGATGTCAGTAATGCAGGGGTTGTGAGAAGGATGTGCAAAATGCACATTGCTTTTTCAGGGCAGGTTATGGTGGGCCATGCAAATCACTTTGGATGAGAAGAGGGATACGTGTGAGTGTTAATAAAGGGATATTTGAGTAGAGGGTGTTATCTGAATTAATATATCGATCAGAGAGCGCGACCCTAAGCATTTTGACAAGAAGTTGCTGGCAGAGGTCTCTGAGACGAATTTTTTGAATTGCTTGGCCAGACAGGATGAACAAAGCAGAAGTCCAGAAGCGAACATGGAATGCAATAGTTGTAGATATGATTATCAAAAAAGGATTGCACTGGATCGGACATGAGTGCAAGATGGATTAGGGCCGATTGCTGGGGCAGACATTGGAATGCTCTGGCGACCAGGGGGAAGACCTAAGAGCAGATGGTGGGATACTGTTAGGGCAGATCTTGAAGGTGGCATGTCTACTGTTCAGGAGCTGCCGGATGTGACATAAGGTAAAAGCATTGGCATCACCGACTAGCACGGTTGGCTATGTACGGTGCAAAAGAAGTTCAAAATAAATACGTGAATGGCTTTGTCCATGATGATAACATCTTGACCTTGGTCATTCTCCTTTGAGCAGGACAATGCGTTGAATGTGGCTTGTTGGCCCAAAACATCACTTGTGAGAAGTTCCCCAATTAAATACTGTTGTAATGCAATAAACATAAAATAAAATCCACATGCCAGGTGCTGTCATAGCATATAATTGAATGTGCCGCTCTAACAACCAGTCGGTTATTCAGCCCTGCTGGCTACACCTGGCACTGGGAAGTTTAATGATGGGCTAATTGACCACTCAGCTTGCTGATAGTGCAAATGGAGGGAGCGATGACTGAAACATGAATGTGCAAATTTTAGAGGTTGGCTTTCCTAAGCACGCAGAGTTAAGGAAATGCATGGCCATGAAGCTTTATACTGAATACTGTCAATTAAATGATATTTAACATTTCGTATCCTTTTTGAGAGTCTGTTTATTCGCACATTTTTAATGCACAAGTTTGCAAATGCATTGTGCATTATTCCCTTGTTGTTCAACAACTTGCCATCCGTGATTTTGGTTGTCCGTGAATCACATCTGGAACTCTACACGACTGCATCGAGAGAAAGAAGGTGATGAGAAAAAGCGATGGGAGATTAAGTGATGATTATGTTGCTACTGCACAGCATCATCACAATTTAAGGTAAGTTAATTTATAAACGAGAATTGAATACTTCAAATTAGTTTTATTTACTTTATGTTTATTACAACAAATGTAAATGTGTTTGTGTAACGTTAATTTTCACGTATTTGATAGGTTATATACGTTTTTATTTAAGGTTATCCATTAAAAGATACATTTTTGTAGGCCAATACCATTATCCACGAAGTGTTATATTCACGAGCATCTCCGGAACGTATCCCTCGCGAATAATGAGGGAATACTGTATATGTGTGCAGAGTAGCCAAACGCGTTTTGGGAATTTCTTAAAATTGTTCAAGAGCGCATTATTCTTCATAAACGAATGAAAATTTCCCTCTTATTTTCAACAAGCACTCGAGTAGCACTTATCTACAATAGCAACTCAGAGCGCATAACAGAAGTTCCTCAACAACGCACCATGAAAATGTATGTTTTATATAGATTTTTTTTTATATATAAACAGTAAACATGTTTTCATGCAGGCAATAAACTACGGTGATAGATTTTCCACTGTTTACAAACGTCACAAGCTCACATCGAATACACTGTGTAACAAAACTAAATTTGTTCCTGGGTAGTAAGTGTTATTTCCTAATTGCTTATGCCTCAAAAGTACATTAAATGGCTATTATTCCCCACAAACTTTACTTTTGTGACCAGGACATTGATATATAGAAATCGGTTTTACCCTTTTATAGGACATTGATATGTTTGAAATTTACCTATTTTCAATGTGAAAACGGTTGAATTTGTGTTTTTTCGTTCCCATAAAGTCAGAAAAACAACAACATATGAATCAAAATTTACAAAAAATTACACTAAAGTAATACAACCATGACGACAAAAGATTTAGACACCAAGGCGCACTACCACAGGCAGGACTGGCCACAGTGGACCGAGTTCTCTGTGGGGAGGAACAACGTCAAGTGGGAGCCACTGGTGGACCCCCGTACTCGGAGGAGCAAGGCGAGCGCTTCCACCAGGATATACTGGACTTTGAATGCCGCTGCCAAGGACATTATAACGAGAACATGATGGGAGACTACATTTGGGAGCTGATTCGTGAAAGTGATTTACAGTATAATCTTAAATCTCGAAAACCTACTCACTTCTAAAACTTTTGTAGCAATTTTTGTATAACTTGAGTATAAATACATGTTAATTTTGATTTATATGTTTTTTTTTCTGACTTTATGTGAATGGAAAAACACAAATTCGCCCGTTTTCTCATTGAAATAGTTAAATTTCAAAATATCACTGTCCTGGTCACAAAAGCAAAGTTTGTGGGGAATAATAGCCATTTTCTATACTTTTTAGGCATAAGCAATTACGAAATAACACTTACTCCCCAGGAACAAAAATTGTGTTCCACAGTGATATCACAGTAAACACGTTAATGCAATAAGATCATTTCCTTTCTGCAGTGTTCAAACACCCAGTGCAATTACATTCATAAGTAATGTCCCGTATTGTATAAAATCTGCAAAGGCACATCATTCTCTCAACATACTGTAATTATTTTTCATCTTGTGTGCTCTTTGTTCGTTGTTTTGTGTTTGCTGTTGGGAGTAATTTCGGTAAAGAGGGCAAATATACCCAGAGCGCGTTTTTCAATGTTTCTCATAAAAAATATATTAAGTTAGGAAATAAAAATGCAACTGTGCCTGTGAAGATTTGTAATGTTATAGAAATAGGGAAACGTTTCAGCATAGTATTCCGATTGCAGCAATACAAATATAAACAAAACAAAGACAAAGATCCTCATGTAGACTTTTGGGGCTAGTGCTCTGAGCGAGCACCTTAGAAGATAGGCATTGTGCAAGAAGGTTGTGGTTTGGCCAGCACCAGGCCTGGACAGTTTTATCTTCCCAGAGTTGATGTTGTTGCACAATACAGATACGCGTTTAAGGCTAGGGCTGGCCCAGAACTGGTTGATATACTACTCAAATATTACTCAGCACTGATGTCAGCCATGGCTGAGAACAACTCATATACAGGAAAATATTATTTTACTCATATAGACCCACAGTACCTGTCACAATATTGATTAATATAACAGATTGCATGCAGACATCTTAAATATAAATCGCAATATATACACAATTGGGCACATGCATTACAAACATATACTGTGTACATATATACAAATATTCCCTGTGTACATAAGAGCTACTGAGCTGAGTGTGGTTAGTGAGCATCTATTTAAGCACGCATAGCACATTGGGGGTGATTTCACAACGACCACATACAGGATAGTCTCCTTTCTATGAATTCTTTCTCTAATGAGCAATTTGAATTTAGACCCATTTGTTCCCAAAACGAACAAAATGCTCGCTGAGCGAGCGGAGACCGATCGATGGATATGCGTCCTGTGGCGGCTAGGTGCACGCACTGGCCCACAGCTGATTACCAGCTCTCCTGTGCTGCGTGCCCACGTGATTCGCCGTGTGGGGTAGGGGGGGCCTCGTGGTGGCACTATAATGGGTGGGTGGGTGAGGGGTGGGTAGCGGCGCTAATGAATTGCAGGCCAACGCTAATGAATTGCAGATGCTTAGGACAGGAAATCGCGCGTCATCTGGCATCCCCGCATTGTGACGATGAGCCCAGCCTCCCTGCTTCGATGTCCAGCCACGGGTAACATCAGTGGCAAGTGATATTTGAAACAGGCGTGCCGGATCGCCCCTGCTGCTCCCTCTACCCACTCAATTGAGCAATGGGATGCGGCTCATATCCAATGGTGGCCCTGAGCTTGTGGTGGAAACTCCACATTACCGTGATAATTGTCATTCCTCCTCTATAGTTTGACCGCTATTGTCTTTCCACAAAATGGTGCCCTATTCATTGACCCTGGGGATTTAAAAGGCTTGGTTTACCCTTTCTTTCCTTTAACTGGTCGACATTGCAATTCCATTCCCATATTCTACTTCACTCAACTGGGTTTACACATCAGAATCATTGCTCCCCTTGCAAAAGCTAGGCAGGAGAGCCACGCGAGTCAGTGACACGTTTGTATGTATGTCGAACTTCTTTCGCAACGTAGGTAGCCAACCTTTACTGGCTAAACAAGTGCAATCTTAACAGTAATACCCTGACCGAGAGTTGAATATCTAAAGTATTCGGAACGTCGGTCAAGTGTTTTTTTTTTACCAGAACAGGGGTCGGCAACGAAAATAACAAGAAGAGCCTTTTTTCGAATTCAGTAAACTCAATATTTCAAGAGCCACAATGCATGTGAATACGAGACGGTCCTTAATAAATTACATCACGAAGCAGTCCCGCATGCGGCTACAGAGCCCGCAGGCTGCCGAGCCCCTGGACCAGAAGAACACTCCCGGGTGATATGGGGTCTCTTAATTTAAAATCTGCTGGGATCCTTACCGATCACGCGCTAATCGTGCGCGACCTAATTAATTCGTTGGTTTGTTCCGCGTCATCCTCGTGCTGCGAGCGGAGAGCTCCCGCCAGTTGCACGCTGCTGGTCGCCATCGAGTCCTCGTGCGCCGTGGCTCCCGGCACGCTCCGCACCCAACCGCCAGTGCCACCGCCACCACCAATGCCGTCATCGCTGCCAACGCCACCGCCACCAATGCCACCGGCGCCGCCTCTCCGCGCACGGCACAGCACGCAGGACAAGAGGGCGCGTGGCGTGCTCCCGCTGAACGCCATGTAGATCCACGGGTTGGTGCAGCTGTTGAGGCTTGCCAGCAGCAGGGTGATGGTGAACAAGGCACCTGTGCGACAAAGAAAGAGAATCCCCCGTGTGGCTTAGAACGGACTTTTTGGGGCAAGTGCTGTTAGCGAACATCTGTCAAGACTGGAACGGCACAAGGGGGGGGGGGGGAGGGTGGATGTCACGCCTGCCCGGGCTGCCTTTATCGCCACAGTAGCAATGTTTACCTGCCACATGATGCACGCACAATGCCTCCTGTGTGCTCATTTATTTATTCATTTGCTCATGTATTTATTCACGTGACATTCACAACTGCCTTTCAAAAGTTTCGCTCAAGTGTTAGTCTATACAGCTCTACACGCACACACTTGATAAGAAGAAGAAGACGACAAGATGTACTGTATTTTCCCGCATATAGCCCGCATACGCATATAACCCGCAGATGCATATACCCCGCAAAAATAGCGTTTTGTGTAAAACAAATTTCAGATAGCCCGCACCTCCATATATCCCGCATGCATTCATATCTTTAACGTCGTTACCGCAGCTTAATTCCATCATATTAATACAAAGTTTACATCTGTAATACATTCCACTATCAAGTGTTAACATTACAATCATAACGTACACAAAGAAAACAAACTAACCGGAAACGAGTGAACTTAAAACTGTAAATAAGTAACAAAAGCAAATATCCAATAAATAAGTAACACATAACTGCTAGATAAGTAAGTAAGCGCACTGTTAGGCTTACCAGCATTCAAACTCATCATATGACCGGTAGTTACCCCTGTACAGTTTTAGCACTGGTAGATTGCGCACTGCGCTGACAATAGCGGCACTACGGTAACGCCATTGCCTCCTGGCAACAAAGCCATTGGAAGTTTTAAACAAAGCTCATGGTCGCGACTGTATAGTGCTCAGCCAATAGCAGCGGCCTAAGGGACTCAGCAATTATGATTCCGCGTCTGGTAGACGCTTGTTAAGGCCCTTCCCATTGTGCAATCCATAGCCTCAGCTGAAACTTTCCCACCCCCCTACAGCCACTGAAAGTATTACGGTAAACAAAGTGAGCCCACTTCAAACATTGTCGTTTCATTGTACAAACAATTCGAGTAATTTAAAACGTGATAACATGTGCAATTTTAGTGTGAGTGGTTTATTCAGCAGTGCTTTAGTCAAAGGTAAGTGTTGCATAGTGGATAGTCCTACCACGTAAAATATTTTTTGGGATAACCCGCACCTCCATATACCCCGCAGGGTCTTGTTTTGTTTGTAAAAGTGGTATACCCCGCGGGTTATATGCGGGGAAATACGGTAACTTCGACAGGGCACTTCATTTAAGTCAACAAAGACAACGACGTGCGCTCGCGGGGAGCAGAATAAAAAACGTACCTTGAGTTGCCGACACGCGGACCCTTTTATAAGTTTCCAAGTCTGTTTCAAGCTGTTAGTTGATGGTCTCGGGCTCTCATCCCATGACCGCGGTATCTCCTTGTTATACCCGAGGGATACGTTCCGGAGGTGCTCGTGAATCGCACGTTTTACGGATTATGATATTAGCCTCTTTTTAATGAATCACCTTAAATAAATGCACGAATAAGCTATTAAATACATGACAATTATTATAACACAAATTAAAATTGGTGATAATAAAAATTAAGTCAATTAACATAAATATTAAAGTATTAAATAATAGTCTATACATGACCTTCCATTAAATTATGATGATACAGCGCAGTAGACGTATACAGTAACAGTGATAATGATAATGGTGATGATCGTTGTGATGTCGTTACTGCTCCTACATAGACATAGAGTTTCAGATGCGATTTGTGGATAGCCAAAATCGTGGGTAGCACGTTCGTCAATAATAAGGGGATACTGTACACACAACGAAAACGATTTCCCCATGTGGTCTACACTGGCTGTTATGGCAATCAGCATTGAAGGCTGGATCCGCGCACGATACAGTGGTGTGGACAGGACCACACCCAGCTTCATATGTTATTGTTATTACACCAGAAAAGCCTCACTGAGTTGAAGTAAATTTTGATTTAAAGCTTTCGTGACTGCAGTAATTCATATTCTTAGTTTTTTCGGTAAAGTCACGTTGAAGAGAAACAACAAAATAATAAAATATATATAACAATAAAAAATTCTCACGACGTTTCGACCATAACTCAAACGGTCGTCTTCAGGTGTGTTGGTTCGCATACATTTATTTTTAAACGGCGCATTTATTTATTTATAAAAAACGTTAGCGCCACGCGCAACGATTTGGCAGTTTACCCAGGACTAGTCCATCTATATTCTGAAAAGAGGAGGGGGGAGACGAATTTTTTTTATAATGTATGCTGTCTGAAAGCCACTGTAAGCGTGAACAATCAATTAAGACCTGAAATGGTTTATCAAATCTTTCCAATGATTGCTAAGATAGAATCCATCTTCTCGGTTGAAATTGTCTCTGTGCTTGTATATGTGGATAGCCTCATGAACGAATCTCTCATGGAAGCCAGATGGCTTACAAAGAACCTCTGTCTTGGAAAAGTCAATGGCATGTGAGCCTACTGAATTAGAACAATGATCTGCCACGGCCGAGGTGTTGGTCCTACCGTGTTTAAGGTCTGCTTTGTGTTCACGAATGCGGTCCGAGACATGGCGTTTGGTTTCTCCAATGTAACTACTACCACAGAGGCAACTTAGTTTGTAGACACCAGGGTATTGTATGTCCGGAATCACATCTTTTACAGACGGAACCAGATCACGGATTTTATGTAATGTGTTGAAACGGACCTGGATCTTGTGTTTATTCAAGATTTTGGAGATCTTTTTTGTGATCCCAGCAATGTAGGGTAAAGTGATGGTTTTGAAAGGCTCCTCAAGAGGGTTCTTCTTCATGGTTTGAGTGATAGCTTTGCGGATTGTATAGTCGGAGTAACCATTAGCCCTAAGAGCTTGGTGTACGTGCTTGAGTTCACTGCTTATGTGTTCCTGGTCGGATATGCATTGGGCTCTATGATACAGAGTCTTGATGAGAGAATTCTTCTGTGATGGATGGACTCCTCTTTTCAGAATATAGATGGACTAGTCCTGGGTAAACTGCCAAATCGTTGCGCGTGGCGCAAACGTTTTTTAATAAATAAATAAATGCGCCGTTTAAAAATAAATTTATGCGAACCAACACACCTGAAGACGACCGTTTGAGTTATGGTCGAAACGTCGTGATAATTTTTTATTGTTTCATATATATTTTATTATTTTGTTGTTTCTCTTCAACGTGACTTTACCGAAAAAACTAAGAATATGAGTTGAAGTATTTAAGGTTTACTCACAGTAGCAGAGGCCCAGGATCGATTCAGATATTTACCACTTGATAAGCGTGGGTAGGAATTGAATTTGGCCATCAGGTTCGTAGCGCTGTGTACTAACCACTACATTACCCAGGCCTCACAAGTTTTGAGAAATCTGAAACTTAACAAAACTAGCTTAGTTTTGAGACGCCGCCCGGTTTATTTTTGGAGGTCGTTGTATTTCAGCCGAGAAGCGTCTGCAGCAGGATGCACTGCTTGGCCTGGAATATGCCCTCCAGCAACAGGTGCATCAGCACAGTGCGGTTGTCGTCCAGCTCCCATTTGAGGATGGAAAAGTCCGACTCGACCGACGTCGTGTTGGCAAACACGGTCGCCAAGCCGCCGCAGAACGAGCGCAGGCGCTCAAATCGACCCGGGGCACAGGCCCAGGCGTCGTTGAAGGTCGTCTTGACGATGTGCTTGTCGATGGCGTTGCGCAGGATCGTGTCCGAGTTGTACAGCATTACCAGCTCGCGGTGCTCCGCCTCGATCTGATCGATGCTGTCCTCGGTCCAGTCTTCAGAGACATGCTCTTGGTAGGGGTCGAGCACCTCCTTCAGGAACGTGCCATGGCGCAGCTTGACCAGCTGCGTGGGCAGCACAGATGGCGCATCCTTCTCCAGGGCCTGATTGGCGCCGTCCCGTTCGGCCTTGATCGACTGCAGGCCCGTGACGAGCGTCATCGCATACATGGCGATGTGCTTGAGCGCATCCTTCTGGTCAGCTGCCTCCAGACACTCGTAGTAATCCTTCGGGAACGAGCCCTGGTTCTCGATGTGCTCCACGATCGCATCGACCGGAAAGCGCAGCGACTCGTAGTGCATGTAGTCGTCGTCCTCGCCGTCGTCATCATCGTTGCGCGGCTGTATGATCTCGATGCTTAACATGCTGATGAGCGATCCGACCAGCGCCTGCACGAGCGCGTCCTGCTGGGCAATCAGCAGCGACTTGGCCTGCATCTCAACGAGCGTGACGTTGATCGAGTCGATGGCAGGCGACACCGAGTACGTGATCACCCACCACTGGTCCATCGGCAGCATGTCGGGGCGCTTGTCCTTGGTGTACTCCATGATCGGGCGACGGTACGACTTGTAGAACATCAGCAGGCGGCCGAGATGCACCCATCGCGGCGTCTTCTTTGGGCACTTGACGTTCATCTTGATGATCAGGTTGTCCTGCGCGCGCAGGTAGACCGAGTACGTGTAGGCCCGCTTGACCCAGATGCCGTCGTCAATGCCCCTCGGCCGCCGCCTTCACGACAATGTCCACCTGATGCGGCGCGCACCAGATGCGCAGCACGTTGTTCTCAGCGCACGCGACGATGCGGGTGACGACGCCTGCATGATGGCCCGTCATGGTGTTCTCGCCGTCCGACGACATGCCTTTTAGCTTGGCGCGCCACTTGACGTAGAGCACGTCCATGAACTTGGCGATCATGTTGAAGATAGTAATAGGTTTTTACCCTTTTAGCTGGCACAAAAACTGACACCTTTATACAAAAACTGACACCTTTATACAAAGGTGTCAGTTTTTGTGCCAGCTAAAAGGGTAAAAACCTATTACTATATCTTGTTAATGGCAAAGGAGGCCTCATAATGTAAAGGCTTACCCCGAGCTCTCAATACTCTGATAGTGCGCTGTTTTTGAGTTGTACGCCTTATGGTGTCATCTGGTCCAACACCAGTGGAGACTCGGCTATAAGAAAAGC